TCGTTCTATCACCCAGGCTGGAGTGCAGTGGCACAATCCAGGCTCACTGCAACCTTTGCCACCTAGGTTCACGTGATTCTCCTGCCTCAGCCTCCCGAGTAGCTGGGATTACAGGCATGCCCCACCCCGTCCGGCTAATTTTTTGTATTTTTTCAGTAGAGGCAGGGTTTTACCATGCTAGCCAGGCTGGTCTTGAACTCCTGACCTTGTGATCTACCCGCCTTGGCTTCCCAAAGTGCTGGGAGTACAGGCGTGAGCTACCACGTCCAGCCACAAAAAATTTTTTAAAAAATTAGCCACAGCCAGGCACAGTGGCTCCTGCCTGTAATCCCAGCACTTTGGGAGGCCAAGGCAGGTGGATCACTTGAGGTCAGGAGTTCGAGACCAGCCTGGCTAACATGGTGAAACACTATCTCTACTAAAAATACAAAAATTAGCCAGGTATGGTGGTGCACGTCTGTTCTTCTGCACAGCCACTCAGGAGGCTGAGACAGGAGAATCATTTGAACCCGGGAGGCAGAGTGCACTGAACTGAGATTGTACCACTACACTCCAGCCTGGGCAACCAAGCAAGACTCTGTCTCAAATAAATTAAATAAATAAATATGTATAGGGAGAATATAAATGTACATATGTATTTACAATTAAAAAGCAAGTTGATAGAAAAATATTAAGCACATGATAATACAAGTAGAAGGCAGACCCAGCAGGTCAGTTTGGAAGCAAAACTTCATGGAAAGAAACCACCAGATCCTCTTGTTTTTCTGACTTCCCACTGCTCCCTGCACATCTGGTTTCCAGACAGGTGTCCTGCTTCCCACTCTGTCTCTCCACAAATGCAGGCTCCTCCAGGAAGTCTGCCCCAACCTTTTTTTTTTTTTTTTTTAAGAGATAGCTCTGTTGCCCAGGCTGGACTGCAGTGGTGCAATTATAACTAACTGCAGCCTCAAACTCCTAGGCTCAAGCAATCCTCCTGCCTCAGCCTCCCAAGTAGCTGGGACCACAGGCACATGCCAACCTCCCCAATACTGCCTTTTTCTGAAGTCAAGCACTGGTTGTCTGGATGACACTTTAGGCACTTAATCACATCCATCACCTAACTTTGGTTTCATGGTCTGTACTATTAAATACATTCTATTATTTTATCTTGAAAAGTAACATCTACTGGAAAACAAATTCGGTAACACTGATGCATATAAAACTAGAAGTGAAAGATCACCTCCCATTCCCCATTCCCACTGCTTGGAGCAGGGGTCACAAGCAAAGGTTTCTTGGGGCTACACTGCATGACCTGGGAGATGAGCCCCTGCTCACTGGCTCTAATCACTGCTGGACCTAGTAGTAAGAGAGCTTCTGCTTTTCCAAGAGAAGCTAGAAGTTCTGGATTTTATGTAAAATTTCCAGAATTTTATATAGACTGGTAATATTTAAAAATCTAACTTTTTTTTGAGACAGAGTCTCACTCTGTCACCCAGGCTGGAGTGCAGTGGCTCAGTCTTGGCTCACTGCAACCTCTGCCTCCCAGGTTCAAGTAATTCTCATGCCTCAGCGTCCCAAGTAGCTGGGACTAGAGGTGCATGCCACCACGCCCAGCTAATTTTTTGTATTTTTAGTAGAGATGGGGTTTCACCATGTTGGCCAGGCCAGTCTCGAACTCCTGAACTCAGGTGATCCTCTCAACTTGGCCTCTCAAAGTGCTGGGATTACAGGCATCAGCCACCGCACCCAGCCAAAATCTAACAATTTTTAAGTGTTTTGAAGTCAATTTAAATTTTGATCAACTGAATTTTTATTTTTTATTTTTTTCTATTTTTGTAGAGACGGGGTTTCCCCATGTTGCCTAGGCTGCTCTCGAGCTCCTGAGCTCAGGTGATCCACTCATCTCAGTCTCCCAAAGTGCTGGGATTGCAGGCATGAGCCAACATGCCCAATCTTGATTAACTGATTTTTAAATCAGATCAAACAAAATGGGTTAGTGAGCAAAATATACACATCGAGCTATATCCAGTCTAGGAGTAGAGAAAGGCCCTCTAGTCAGTACTGACTCACTCTTAGAGTGGTTAAATGTAACCACGTCACAGGAAGGCAGAAATCCCACAGGTGATGTGCTCCAGTGAGGCCTCCCCAGCTAAGGTGTATCCCATCACTATTCAGAGCTCAAAATACATTTTGAAAATTTATTTAATATATAAAATATTTCATTTATAACAGCTTCAAATTGTGTTTTACGTTACACTATAAGGTTTGTCTTGCTAATTTTATACTCTACAGTTTCACAGGTAAATTAATCCTAGTACCTAGGAGCTGCATAAAAGTAGGAAGGGCTCACATGTGATCAATTTTAGCCATCTAATTTTTTATTATTTTGAAATGAATCTTATTTCCCTCTACAAAATCAATTTTGTAGCATACTTGCTAATCTTGCCCTACTCAACATGGATGCTCAAGTTGAAGCTGAAATTCCAGTTTCAATGAGTCCATCATCCTGAGGATGATGCTCAAACTCTAATAACATCTGCATAAACACAAGGGTACGTGTAACAGCAAACCGAGGACAGTGTGGTACGGTGGAGAGAACACTGCGTGTTCAGGCCGGCGGATTTGGAGACAAGACTCCACTCAGCCACTTTCTTTCCAGCTCTGTGACACTGAATACATCCCAATCTCCCTGAATGTCACTTTTTTCATCTGTAAAAACAGGGTGATGAAATTACAATACTCAGTCAATCCACCTCACATGACTGTCATGAGGATAACACGAGCTACAATACACGACGTACTGTGTCTCAAAGTACTGGACAAGTATGTTTTATTATCCTCAGCTGTCAGAATGGAATTGGGAGCAATAAACAGTATTTAATGTTTAATGCTAATTAGAGAATTTTCCTGCCTAATAAAGTAGGTTAGTCTAGGATTATAAAAATGCAAGTAAAATAACAAAAAAAATGACATTGGTGCTCCCACGCTGACTTGAAACGGTATGAGATTTATGCTTTTGCAAAAACTCAGATAAAAAGGTATCAACTGTATCTAATAAAATCTTAAAAATTAATGGGATATATAATTACATAAACAACTCCACCGATAGCCAAGTAATTACAAAAAAGTCAGCATAACCATCACTGTAACTAAAATTAAGAACAACCAAAAACTGTGATTATATTAAAAACGAACAGTTGGGCAAACCTACCTTCCAGTTCGCCAGTTTTTTAAACTCTATGATTTTTATAACTGCTCCCATGAGAATACCTACAAGAGAAAATGTAAACTTTAACATAAATTTAAGATATGAGAAAGATTACTCAGTTTATTATTCTAGAGAAACTGAATATGAACAATAATGTATCTAAACGGCTTTTATGGAGTTCTGCAAGTTTTATGTCTGCAAACATAAGAATAGTAAGTTATTGTTAAGTTTTGAGTCACATGAATTTCTAGCTCACATCTCAGGCAAACATACTAAAATAAAGTACAAAAGTCAGACGGTTGGGGAGGTAAAGCATTTTTAAAGCAAGACCCAAGGATACTCTGGCTGGGGAAGATTTATCGCCTGTCATTTTTACTATATCCACCCATTTTCAATGGGAAATGGCAAGAGTTTACAAGCTAAGTTTGCCGGGTACTGTTTATTTCCATAATTTTCAAAAAAGAATTCTCGACCACTTTCTTAGACTCAAATAGCAGCTCCATGTCGAATATTTAGTTAGAAAAACGCAAATGCTGAAAATAACCTAAAGTAAAAGTTCTGTGAAATTCCTGGAAGAAAACAGACCTAAGTTCAGGCTTTTTCCATAAAGCTGACAGGCTCATCACTCTCATTAAGCAGCTACCAAAAATAATTCTCAAAGCAGCAGCATGGGCACAAATTATGATTTCTCTGCTACTCCCTAGATAAATGACTCTTTACCCTGCTGGTTCACCAGAATCACCATGGGAACTTTTTATAAAATAAAGATGCCCAAGTAGAACTCCAGACCTACTAAATAACAATCTCGGGTAGGAGGTGACACAAAGCAAGCCTGCAGGCCCCTGCCGTGGATGCTTCAACATGAAGACTTCCCTTTCCCATGGAGGAAGGAGCTCCGCCATCAGCCAGAGAAGACTGAAGCCCAGCTTACTGGGTGGGGTAGGAGAAAGTATCAGAACAAGAAGTTGAGCTGGAAAAGGACCTGTACTAACATGACCTCAGAGTGAGTAGTCTGAGGTGAACAGGGGAGATAAGTTCATTTTAACTTTATAAACCTTCATGCTATTGGAACTGTTATATAGTATTAAAAATAATAAAATTATTTTGAAAAAGAGAAAGGACCCAAGACAAAATAAAGCTGAGCTATAAAAGAGTCAATGAAAACACTTGCCAGGGGGCATGAAGCATGGATTCTAACCCATCAACCCATCTCCTGCTACAGTTCCCATGTTCCTATTTTTTTCAAATTGTAATTACATTTTAATTACAATACCTACAAGAGAAAAGGTGGAAAGAGGCCAGGTGCTCATGCCTGTAATCCCAGCACTTTGGGAGGCCAAGGCAGGTGGATTGTTTGAGGTCAGGAGTTCAAGACCAGCCTGACCAACATGGTGAGACCCCCATCTCTACTAAAAATACAAAAATTAGCCAGGCATGGTGGCATGTGCCTGTAGTCCCAACTACTTGGGAGAAGCAGGAGAATCGCTGGAACCCGCAAGGTGGAGGTTGCCGTGAGCCAAGATTGCACCACTGCACTCCAGCCTGGGTGACAAAGTAAGATTCCATCTCAAAACAACAACAACGTGGAAAGAACCCAAATGTCCTTAACTAATAAGTGAATAAACAAACTGTGGTATATCCATACAGTGTAGTATTATTCAGCAATGAAAAGGAATGAAGTACTGATAGCTGCTGCAACATGGAAGAATCTTGAAAATATACCAAGTGAAAGAAGCCAGACATAAAAGACATTTCACATATTCTATTTATATGAAATGTCCACAATAGGCAAATCTACAGGGACAGTAACGGTTGCCCAGGGATAGAGAGGAGAGGTATGGAGCTGATAGCTAAAGGGCATGGGGTTTCTTTTTGAGGTGATGAAAATGTCCTAAAATTGACTGTGGTGATGGCTGCGTAACTCTGGACATACTAAACACTGTTGAACACCGTGGGAGAATTGTGTGGTATGTGAAGTACATCTCAATAAAGCTGCTGCCAAATAAAAAGTACCACAGGTTGTATGATTCTATCAATTTATATGAAAGGTCCAGAACAGGCAAATTCATAGAGACAGAATATAGATTCGTGGTTTCCAGGGGATGGGAGAAGGGAGAAAGGAGAAATGGGGAGTGACTGCTAATGGATATGTTTCTTTTTGGGGTAATGAAAGTGTTCTGGCATTAGGTAGAGGTGATGGTTATACACTCTGAATACACTAAAAAGCTCTGAATTATGCACTTTAAGATGGTGAAATTATTATATGTGAATTATATTGCATTTTTTTTTAAGTCACAACCTTTTTAACCATTCCCCCACTGATGGTTTCCTCCAACTGTTTGCTATTAACAGTGGTGCTACAATGAACATGCTTGTACATGCCACTTTGTGTTAAGAGCATCTCCCTGTGGAAGACATTCACAACAAAAAAACCAAGACTCTCTCCCTAGGGCGGATCCAGAGACTACAAATGGCAGGATTACAAAGCATGAGCATTTTTATCATTGAAAATGTTGCCAAATTATCCTCCAAAGTAGTTGTACCGCCTTACACTTCCAAAAGAAAGTGTCCCACATCCTCAGTAGCGCTGGATAATCATCAGATGTTAACATTTCTGCCAACATGGTGGGCAAGAAATCATACTTTAATGTTTCAATTTGTATTTGCACTCAATTTGCATTCAGCAATTATCCTGATTCCCAGGGAAGTTAAACCTCTTTCCATCGTTTCAGACTTCATTTTCAAAGCTAGTGTTTTTCTGCTTTACTAAAACCTCATGTTTCTTTTTCTCTTCTAAAAGCATACCACATCTTAACGCCATGATTACCTTTTATAATCACACATAAAACAGTTACATTTGAAAATCGGTAATTATTCTATTGCCCAAGCCTGTGTTTTATTACTTACGAAGTGCTAGGAAGCTTTGTAAAATACAATGTGATATTATTAATAATTACTTAAATAATCCTTTGTGCACCAATAAATTGGCAAACTACTACTTTACCTCTTGAGATTGAGGTTCCAAGTTAGGTCAAATCAATCTACTCAACAGAGAAAATGAATTTGTATCACACAACTGGCCACCAGATAGAAATAATGCCTGAGATACAATTTTGTATATTCCTATTACTAAAAAGAATTTGAATGTGTACTCTCAAGTTACAAACTTTAATTTGTTATTAATTAATATGAAAGTGATGGCCGGGTGAGGTGGCTCACATCTGTAATCCCAGCACTTTAGGAGGCCAAGGTAGGTGGATCACCTGAAGTCAGGAGTTTGAGACCAGCCTGACCAACATGGAGAAACTCTGTCTCTACTAAAAATACAAAATTAGCCAGGCGTGGTGGTACATGCCTGTAATCCCAGCTACTTGGGAGGTTGAGGCAGGAGAACTGCTTGAACCCAGGAAGTGGAGGATGTGGTGAGCCGAGACCATGCTTTTACACTCCAGCCTGGGCAACAAGAGTGAAACTCTATCTCAAAAAAAAAGTTATTGCATTACTACACACACACACACACACGCATGTGTGCACCCACACACACGCTTTTTTTTTGAGATGAAGTCTCATTCTGTTGCCCAGACTGGAGTGCTCACTGCAACCTCCTGGATTCAAGCAACTCTCTTGCCTCAGCCTCCCAAGTAGCTGGGACTACAGGTGCGCACCACCAGGCCTGACGAATTTTCTTGTAGAGACAGGGCTTCACCATGTTGCTCAGGCTGGTCTTGAACTCCTGACCTCAACTGATCTGCCTGCCTTGGGCTCCCAAAGTGCTGGGATTACTGGCACGAGCCACTGCACCCAGCCATGTACCACTATATATACATAGATATATGGATAGAGAGAGTAGCTGGTATTAAAATTGTATGCCACCATACTTGGCTAATGATGATTGTATTTTTAGTAGAGACTGGGTTTCACCATGTTGGCCAGGCTGATCTTGAACTCCCAACCTCAGGTGATCCGCCTGCCTCAGCCTCCCAAAGGTGCTGGGATTACAGGCACGAGCCACCATGCCCAGCCTGTATTTTAAAATATTCACGAAAAATAGAAATTGTAAAAGAGTGAGGTTAAAAATAAAAAGAAACTCAAGTTCTAACATTTTCCTTTGCTCCTAGTTGATCTTTGTGCACACACCTCATTAAGGACACCACTCAATTCATTCAGAAGATCGGGAGCAATTAATGATTATTTGTTGAGCCTCTTCTTCCAGGATTTGTCATTTTCAATTACTTCTAATCCTCAAAAGAACACTGTAAGAAGGCTCAGAGAGTTTAAGTAGCTTTTCTGAGAGCTTAGGACCAGCAAGTGATGCTGGTCCACTAGCTCGGGTGCATCCTACCACCTAATCATGCTAAAGACACAGAAGACTGTACTATTGCAGGCTGCCTACACGACTCCAATGAACTGCCAATGTTTGCTCGTTCCCAGAGTGCACTGCAGGGCTACCATTATGACTGTAAAACGTAAGTATTCCTGGTCAGTAAGGTTACATGAAAAAGGTTTCAAATGTATTAATTTTTTTTTGTTACCAAGAAATGTTTTATTTTTCTTGCAGTAGTTTTAACTGCACAAAATCATGTTTTGTTTTTGCCATTTAAACATTATTGCACAATCCTATTCTGAAAGACAAATGTTCATTAAAAACAAAGCAAAAATAGGGATTTCCAGCTCTCTGGAATCCCCTCTCACATGGTGGGTGTTGCTTCACTGCAGTGAGGCTAAGTTTGCGCTTCTCATCACTTGAGTTTGGCCTACTTCTCTCCTCATTGGAATTATGCCGATTCTTGTCATTAGCAGAAGTGTGGGATGATGTCTGGTCTTTCCCTTCCAGCTCTCCTGAGAAACTCTCTGATAGCATCCACCACTTGCTGGAATAGTTTACCTTTGCTAATCTTTATCGTTTCCTCTTTATGAGCATGATATGGCTTCAGTTGTTTCACTCTGATCCAGGCATGATCTTCTGTTCCAAAAAGTTTCACAAAGAAGCATTTCTTTCCACGAGGTTTCTGCAAGTCCTTTGATGGGTTAACAATCTTTCCTGGCCAAGGAGGATACTGGC